ATCGGCTTTCGGATGCTCCAAATCTATCCAAAAATAGATTTATATCATCAAAATATGCTAAGGGAACAAAGCCCACTCTAAAATATCCAATTTATACCAAAAATCTCGAAATTGGCCAAACCCGGCCCCCGGGACCACGTCTCAAAATCCGATACAAATCACAAAACTAGAATCCTTACACTCTCACGAGTTCATACATATCAAATACATCAAAATCCGACCACAAACGACCCCTCAAATCCCTAGATTTAGGTCTCCAATTTCCAAGCACTAACTTCCAATTTGCTACTAATTTTTCCATATAATTCAAGCTTACAACCTTAAAAATCATCATAAAAACGAGTTTAGGGACCAAGGACCTTACCTCTAGGAAGCCCTCTTGAATTCTCCCTTCAATTAGCTCTCCAAAGCTTCTTCCCATTTGAAATGTTATGAAAAACCACTCAAAATCGCGAAGGGTGAAATAAACATATTCTGACCCAGCAAAATCGCACTTGCGGTTAAATGGTCGCACCTGCGGACCCGCACCTGCGGTCCCAGGTGCGCACCTGCGAAATTCACTTAAAACTCTAAGGCCGCATTTGCGCAAAGAAATCCGCACATGCGCAATCGCAGGTGCGACCAGGACCTCGCTTCTGCGGTCCCAGCCTGCCCCTCTCCTGGCCGCTTCTGCGGCTCCAAAATCCGCTTCTGCGAGTCCGCACCTGCGGTTCCCTAGCCGCAGGTGCGGTTATGACAGCAATAGAAAGACTTCAGCTGCCAAACCCAACTCAAAATCTTCCGCCAACCATCCGAAATCACCCCGAGGCCCCCGGGACCTCAACCAAAAGCACAAACAAGTCATATACCACTATCCAAACTTATACCAATCTTCAAAACACCTCAAACAACATCGAATCAACCAAATCACATCGGATTGAAGCCTAAGGTTCCAAAAATCTTCCGAATTCCGCTTTTGATCAAAAGTCTATCAAACCACGTCCGAATGACCTGAAATTTTGCACACACATCCCAAATGACACAACGGACCTACTACAACTACCAGAATTCCAATCCGACCCCTATATCAAAATCTCACCTATCAACCGGAAAACGGCAAAAATCAATTTTTGCTAATTCAAGCCTAAAGCTACTCCGAACCTCCAAAACACATTCCGATCACACTCCTAAGTCCCAAATCACCTAACGGAGCTAACTAAATCATAAAAATTTCAATCCGAGATCATTTACTAACAAGTCAAAACTTGGTCAAACCTTTCAAATTTTAAGCTTCAAACTGAGAACTGTCCTTCCAAAACCATTCCGATTACCCTGAAAACCAAAACCGATGATTTACACAAGTCTAATACATCACACGGGGCTAGTCATACCCGAGAACTGGCGAGTGAAGTGCAAAAGCTCAAAACGACCGGTCGGATCGTTACATGAGAACAGTAAGGATTCTCAAAATAATCCTCCACTCTATGAAAGTATTATTTGACATGAGATTTTTCAAAGCATATATAGATAATTTTGGTCCATTCGTGATGTGCATATGACAAACATGTGATTTGTGAATACATATTCATTCTTGAAATAATATAAACGTGCTAGTGGTAGTGAATATACCACACTCACCCCTAGAAGGAGGTTTGAGAGGAAATAAGAAAATAATATCATTATTATGGCATGAATGATCATTGGTCACGTAGCTATTGCACGCCAAAATATTTTAGCAATGTGATAATTAAAGGACAATAGTAATGCAAGAAAAAGATCTTGCATATAATTTTGACCATGACCATAATAGTATAACTTTCTCCTTGAGAGAGATATTCACCATATGTATGTTGATAAATATGTGGTAGTACAAAATTAACTGAGAGCTCTGGAGGAGCCAATTATACTATTTTGGAGAATTAAAATTGATTATCAATAAGGTATTGTGTCATAGTAAGTCTCAATGAAACTTATTGAGTTTCTAATAAAGTATTCGCGAAAGCGGTTGGCTATATTGAGACTATAAATAAAGGAAAGATTTAATATCTTCTATTACTACAACAACTTGTAGCGCCGTAATATGTATGAGAAAAGTTACCCGCTTTATTCTCCAGTTTGTACTATACAAATAAAATAATGCCACAATAAAGTAGAAGTTTATTGATATAAAAACTCATATCATAGTAAACTTGCAGTTTATTGATAATTGTACACGTCATGGTGTACTCCTGAAGTTTATCAATATTGATAATTTATTCAGTTGGCATAATCGCTCTAGCCATGTTAATTTAAGTACGACGTGCAAAAATAAAAGAGAATTCACATGGGTAAATATTAAAAAACTAGAAAGTTCTTTACGAATTATTTTATGTTACTTGTTTTTATTAATTAATAGGCCAACTAAAATTGGGATTGAATCCTATGGATGCTGGAAAAATCAAAGGTGAATATGAGCTCATTCACCTGTCATGTATATCACATAAGAAGCATCTATGAGATGATTACATGTGCGATTATTATTAACCCGCAACCTGGTGTTTGCGTGGTAACTTGCTCAATAATTTAATTTAGAGCATATTTCCAGATTTTCTATTCAAGACAGTTCATCTTAATAAGTTGGTTGGTTTACACCACAGTTGGTTTAGCAAAATAGTTTATTGAGTGCCTCCACTTAATAGCTAAACTATTGCTTATAAGAATAAAGTTATCTATATTAGTTTGATATAGGTTATATACAAAAGTATATTACATTTTTCCCTCACAAGTGGTTCAGGTCAGGAACCAAATAATTCCATCTTATTATTATTTATGTGAGGTGTATATTTTGATTAACACCATAACGCACAAAGGTGGGTTTCCAAAATTGAGAAAGCAAGTTAGTTTTCTAGTATGAGGGGGAGACAGAATAAACAATTGAGAAAAAGTTACGAGGAATGAATTATCATTTGTACATCTAGATCCTCGAATAAGATAGTATGAACTTGAAGTTCTTAAAGAGATAATTCATCTGCAATATATTGCAAAGCATTCCAAACGGATTTGCTGACCCAAAAAAGTAACTATATTCTCCTATAAATGCTCCTATTAGAATAAGTCCTAGAAGGAAAATATTTATGATACGCTTAAAGTGTATAGATAAATCGGTCTCAAATAAAATTCTTGATAAAGAAGATTAGCAAATGATCATAATAAGAAGGCAAGTGATCTAGAAGATCATATGACATAACACTTCACAATATCTCAGGAATGATTCAGGTACCTGGATATATGAATGAAGAAATCTCTATGATATATCTTTATGAAAAAAAAAGGAGGATGAAACCTATATAAAATGTTCGTCGACTACATCTATGATATATGTATATATATCTTAATCCTGGAGAAACAATTCAAGTAGAATTATTTTCATAAAAGACATGTAGTTTTGGATATTTAGTTCGAACACTCTAAAATATAAAGTCAACGTTGTGTGCAATCACTTTCATATATCTTATATGTCTGGCATGACATAAAAACTTGATATGCATCATCTAAAGTCCATTTATATGACTTAACTTATATGACAATCCATGGAGGATTTAAATCGTTTAAAGCATATACTATTCTTGGTCCTAAAGTACCATATCCTAAGTGCAATTTGTGCACATATGTATCTTGCTATAACTATAAGAATGATACTGTGATAGCGAGAATACCTCTATGGAGATATTGAAAAGGCCATTCCACGATATTATATGAAGACATTATATATCTATCAAGAATGATGATTTCAAAGTGCAACCTATTCATTCAAGTTTTATGGTTGATTTATTTGTCAAATCCCTACCAACGATATTTTGAATATGATGCACAACATTGGAATGCGAAGGCTCAAGGATGTGAATTGATGCTCTCATTAAGTGGAGTTAATACGCGTTGTACTCTTTTTCCCTTACAAGGTTTTGTCCCACTGGATTTTCCTTGCAAGGTTTTTAACGAGGCAACCAAAAGGCGTATTGTTAGATATGTGTACTCTTTTTCCTTCACTAAAAATTTTTCCCACTAGATTTTATTTTAGTTAAAGTTTCAACGAGATACATTATCTGACATTCAAGGGAGATGTTATAAATAGAATTCTATTTAAGATGAATGTCTATGTTTTAGAGATATTTTAGCGTTTGTTACTTTGTGGCAAAATCACTTTTTCCCTATAAATAAAGGGGTTCTATTCCATTATAAATAATCCCAAAACGATAAGAATTTTCTCTTCCTACTTTTCTCTACAATATTCTTCTTCTTCTTTTATTATTTTATAACAAAAAAAAAGGTCATCATTATTTCAGATCCATGCAAAAATTTAGATTCAACAAAATCTTTGGGAGATCACCATTGCTAAAAGCCATGCAAAATTATTACTAGCATAGATAGTGGATGATTTGATTGAGATGATGGCTCTTTGCTACCATATCTCTTGTGATCTGACATATGTTGTTTTAATTATTTAATACCATATAAGCTAGATTTTGAGATTTGAGAATCTTTATGTTTTACAAATCTAAGTTTTCTTAATTTCATTTAAGCCGATTGCACATAATAATTAATTGATTAAAGGGACATCAATCTAATAATACCCAACATATATGACATTGTTCTGTCCCATAATTATTGTATTAATCCATAAGTTGAAAAGTGTTTAGTCTTGCATCAGAACAAAATGGGTAAATTAATTAAGTTGTGCCAAAAAGATCAAAATACTTTATGAAATGGACGGAGTAATAAAAAATATAGCGACAAGGGCTATTTCACAAGTAGCATCTAAAATACCTGTACGAACTCATTTTATTAGTTCGCAATGTAATCGGAAAAAAATGTAGAAAGGGCTCTTAGGTACGAAACACAATCAGTTATATAAGATTGCTTTCCTTTATTCAAGATTACAAATTAATATTTGTACATAAAATTAGACAATGGATTTCACCAAATAGGATTTCATATGTACTAAAGAAAAGGCATTCTCTTTTTATTAGTGAAACTTGTGAATGTATAACACCAGAAAAGACAAAAGGTATAGTGCTATTTATGTATCATTAAAAGAAGCAATTCCAATTTTGCAAACCCTCACTCACTCTTGCTATGATTTCAACCTATGTATTCGTACTTTCCGAAAATATCGTTAGGTACATGCCGGGTCCTATCAAAAGTATTATATTTTCGGAGGATCCGACACGGACGCAATATCATTTTGGAAAGTCTGCACAACATAGATTTCAACATTGACAAAATATTTCTCTTCCAACCATGACAAAAAACAGAAATTCTTATGTAGCCATGGCAAAAATCAAGTGAAATATTATGCACTCCTTGTGATAACACAGCACCAGCAGATGGAAAAGTTTGTTTCTTTCATCTCTTCCAAAAAAACCTTAAGAAGAATCTGAATTGGTATTTCACAGAAATAATTCTGCAAAAGAAAAAAATACAAAGGGTGAGACACTTGGATGGAAATATAGTCAGATCTCTTTACAACATCATCCTTTATACCGTCACTTTATTATAACGATCAAAATTTCTTTGGAACCAATTTTTTCATATTATATTATAATATATTTTCTTTATCATTTATATGATCGAGCGTTTCAAAGGTAATCATACCTCATCTTTTCAAGAACTGGCTAAGAGGCCAATCAAATCTCTAGTACAATGACTGCAACACCAAAATGAACATAATTAACATATAAAAATTTGTTGGCCATAGAAAAACAAAATGCTTTCAAGCGAAAAATGGTATATTCATCAAGATTTAACTTCTATGTAGTGCAAATAACAGCCCATAAAAAGTGAAATCAATGACGTAAAAATAAGGTAAGTTACCTGCTATAGTAGGTTAAAATACACTGATAACGTAAAATTTCTTTATACATTAAGTTAAATCCAATCATTAATGCACATGTGAAGTTTTTGAAAACTTACAATCAGAATCTGATTTGTCCCATTTACTTCCATTCTTCACAGTATCAAATATTTCATCTTCACTATCACTCTCAAGCTCACATCTATTGTCTAGGTATCTCTTTCTTGTGGTACCCCTTGGACTAGTTGCTTGAGGATATATCTTTTTGTGTAGTATGGCCCTCAAAATCTGAAAATAAAAGATTACTTAAACAATCTGAAAAGAAAAATTGCAAACTAAATACATCTATAAAACACTAGTATATGCACATAAAAAAGGTAGAAATGACACTAGGTAGCCACTCTAAAGGGTTGCTATTTAGAAATTAGTCAATGCGTCTTGAATTTCGGTTTTTAAGTTCAATTTTTTCGGACAAAAATGACCTGAATTGTCTTGAAGTTAGGATTTTTAGTTTAAAATTTCAGGACAAAATAAGTACTGGTTAATCTCTAGATAGCATCTCTTAAAATGGCTATTTGTGCACTTGTCTCCATAAAAAGGGCAGTCCGCTATGCGCAGAATCCGGGAAAGGGTCGGACCACAAGGATCTATTGCGCACAGCCTTACTCTGCATTTCTGCAAGAGGTTGTTTCCACGTCTCGAACCCGCATGAAAGCAACTTTACCAGTTACGCCAAGATTACCCTTCTAGATGCACATGACTTTTAAATAAATAAAAAATTAATATAGAATGCTATCATTCTTTTTGAAAAATACTAAAAAAGTAGAGAGAGCGACATATAAAATGAAACAGAGGGAGGGAGTATATTATTGCAAACCTTTTCCATTCTTGATTTCTCAAATTTTGACTGTGGAAGTACTGGATCTCTCAAAGGGTAAGGGGGAGGGGGTGTGAATCCATCACTGCAGAGAAATGTCTTCTTGAGAAGATAAGACACAGATTTTCTGCTAATACCATTGTTTGTGTTTTCCAGTTGAGCAGATTCTTGTCCTCTACCACAAACAAGACTGTTACTCCGCTTGAAATTGCTCTCTTTATTTTCTGAATTTTCAGCTTCTAATTTCTGGAGACAGTCAAAGAATTTGTCAAGATCTTTATTTGATCCCTTGGCTGACTGAGGAATTAGATGTTTTAGTTCTTTGTTAAGCTGTCCAACTTCTTCAGGTGTAAGTTTTTCATCTGGTTGATTCAAATTCCCAGTATTTTTTGGAATACTGTTTTTGCCAAATGTCCCAATAGCAAGCAGTTCATTAGGCCAGTCACTGAATTCTTCTTTGCATGGTTGATGCACCTTTTGATCTATCAATTTTAAGGAGAAATCATATGAGTACAAAGCGCTAATCCGGTGCATGAAATATTTCGCGTTTACGCAGGGTCGGGGGAAGGATAGCCAGCCTACCCTGACACAAAGTACAGTGGCTGATTTCACAGTTCGAACCAATGAACTGTAGGTCATACATAGTAGCCTACCATGACACAAAGTTCAGTGGCTGATTCCACAGCTCGAACCAGTGAACTGTAGGTCACACAGAGCAACCTACCATGACACAAAGTTCAGTGGCTGATTCTACAGCTCGAACTAGTGAACTGTAGGTCATACAGAGCAGCCTACCCTTGACACAAAGGTCAGTGGCTGATTCCACTGCTCGAACCAATGAATTGTAGGTCACATAGAGCAGGAGCAACCTACCCTGACACAAAGTTCAGTGGCTGATTCCACAGCTCGAACCAGTGAACTGTAGGTCATACAGAGCAGCCTACTCTTGACACAAAGGTCAGTGGCTGATTCCACAGCTCGAACCAATGAACTGTAGGTCACACAGAGCAGGAGCAGCCTACCCTGACACAAAGTTCAGTGGCGGATTCCACAGCTCGAACCAGTGAACTGTAGGTCATACAGAGCAGCCTACTCTTGACACAAAGGTCAGTGGTTGATTCCACGGCTCGAACCCGAGAACTGTAGGTCACATAGAAGCAACTTTACCGTTGCTCTACGGTTTCCCTCCAGAACAAAGCAAATAAAAATAAAAAATCAATAATACTTACGAGTGACGGTTACTGGGTTGGGCTTGGAGGTGCTTTGCTTTCCATTAATCTTGTTTTGAATCCAATTAAAGATCTATTATCAGCATATAAAGCAAAAAGTTACCATCTAAAGAATATAATGATCATACTTCAAATATATGCAAAGATGACAAGCCTGTCCAACTTACCTTCATCTTGAGGGAAAAGATATACTTGAAATTTGAGAACCCTTTAATCTAACTACAGAGGTAAAAATATGATCAAGGTGGGCTTGAGAATTGTGTTTAAGCACAAGTCTGTTAAGCCAAAGGAAGTTGAGCTTCTGGCTCTTTTAAATAGAGGTGGAGTTATCTACATTCTAATTTTTTTAATTATTTTATATATTTAGTTCGAACCAAAAAATTACGAGTTCAGTTGAATCTATAAAATTTGTTATAAATCAGCCTCAGGGCGAGAGCACTATGTATTTCTACAGCTGTTAACCTAAGCAGTGCTAGTATTGGTTCAAGTTCCCATGCAGCCGCATATTTTAGTGTCCTTTACATGTGTCATTTTCCATTTCGACCATCGTCCAATTTGAAACCTCAGGCACTATTGTTAATGTAAATAGTGCTTATAAAAGAGCTAGTTGAAGGGTCTGAAGACCGCGGTTAAAGGCGGATCCAGAATTTTAAGAGAATGGGCACGTGAAGAGGTGGATTTATAATTTATATTTGACTGATTTAACTTTAGTCTCTTACCATAACCTATTACACTTCTAAAATTATACGTTCAAAATTAAATTTTTTTGAAATTTTAGTAATTTTCATATATGTGTCTATACTCTGTACCTAAAACAAAACCGTTCAGAATAGGATTGGAACTGACAATTTTACTTGTAGAGGTGCAACCAATAATAATTGCACCATAATAGTTGTTGAGCATGGGTTCACGCACATATATTTAAGTAATTTTGAAGAAATATAACATTGTTATACATGGTTTAGGGAGAGGAGTATGGGTTCACGTGAACCCATATTCCACAACTTGGATACGTCTCTGGGTCTGCCCGAATAAAAAAAAAAAGGACAGTTCAATACACGAAGCATCCTATGTTCATACGGGGTTCAGAGAAGAACCGTACCCCAAAAGGGTCTGTCCGAATAGCATATTATAATTAGTTCTACCCATTCTGTCTATTGCTAAAAAATATTGTTAGAAAGGAATATGTCAAGGTTCAGTCTCTAATACTACTCTGCAATTTAGTTGGCCTCTGTCCCAAAATGTAGTGTCACAATATTTGGACATTTAAATCTCAAGTCTCAAGCACTCACTATAGCAAGTAAATCAGTTCAAAGAAATTAAATATAAGAAGTAGCAGATTCATGAACTAAATTTGACAGGTAGGTGGCATTAGTTTGTAGTTATAATGTCTAAGACGAAAAAAAAAAATTGGATTTAATCTTAGTTTGTTGCTTCAAGATAAATCCTTACTCTTCTCTATACTAGCCTGTGGCGGAGCCATCTTTACTCAAGTGGAGTCACTCGACACCTCTTTATCGAAAAATTACAGTATGTAACTGTGATAGATCTAAGTTGATTTTAATGATGCAAAATAATCAATTACTCTTTATGTGCAGGAACAGTTTTTGAGAAATAGAATAGAGGCATAAATGAATCAAAACGAAAAAGGAAAGAGGAGCGAAAAATCAATCAAGGGAGCTGGCAAAATCAATCAACAAGGATTATAGGAAGGATCTCAATCAAAGGAGGTCAAGATCACGAAATCGTCCCCTGAAGATTCTTCCACATAAAGACGTCAATCAATCAAGGGATTTGACAATGGGAATATTCTCTCATTAAAGGAAAAAATAAATCAAGCCCACGAGTCAAGGCAAATCAACAGAAGAATTAATCTTAATCAATCTACGATTCCTTTTGAGAACAACTCCCTTGAGTTTGATATCTCTCAAAAAGACGTACAAGACGTGAAGGCCTCATGAAGTATAAATACCTACTGTACCAGCCTTGGAAAGACATACTTTGATCAAACCAATTTCATTCTCTTTGTTCTACTTCAAACAAACATTGTCGTCTGTTTTAGATTTCTTGTGTAACAAAGAAAAGAAGAGAGAGAGAGAGAGAGAGAAAAGAATACCGGTGAGGCATTGTACCAATTATAGAGAGAAGAACAAAGTGACAAAAGTTGTTGGTGTATAACAACATCAACCCATCTGTACTACTAAGCTACTTCATACTTGAAAAAGATCACCCTTGCAACCCAACCGGACTGGACGTAGGATTCACTCTGAATCCGAACCAGTATAAAATATTATGTGTCATTTACTTTCTGCAATTTAGTTTCTATATTCAGATTTTGAAAAGCCCAGTCGACTAGAACGCAAATTAGTCGACTACCTTGAAAAACGAAAACGAAAAACTTACAAACCCCCCCCCCCCACCCCCCCTTGTACTTTCAAACTGATGATTCTTTCTATGTATATATAATATATGTTGAATCCCCTTGACTTTTTTGTGTGTTTATTTCTCTATATTATAACACTCTTACTGAAAATTTTACCTCCGCCACTACACTACAAGTGTAGTTAGTATAAGACATGATTGTGTCATGCCTACAAGTAGATTTCACGTGTGTCAAATTCAGCATTTTTCTGTCCTAAGATGGATAATAATCTATAGAATTCTAGAAAGGAAAAAGTGATTCATGGGCAAAATAAAGTAGACATGCCTATACAGTATTTTGGAAATAGAAAGCACATAAAAACCAACCTAAAAGTAGTATGGGAAGAAATTAGGTTTAGTTGAAAAATGCAGGCCATGTCCTCGTGGGGATGTCCCTCACTAACCGAACCTCCTGCTTTTTTCCAGAATTTCTTCACCACCTAAACAATTTGACTTGACATGCAGAGACACGATAGGAATGACACATACTCTAATATCATCAATAGTTCCCTAAAATAATTTTTCTGAACCTCGTTCTCATATTCGCTTTGTTTTAAAAAGATTATCTTAGTTTGACTTTACACAAACTTTAATAACAAGGCGAAACATTTAAGATATATGGTTTTAAATAAGTCATAACATTTGTGTGACCGTAAAACTTTTGAAACTTGTGATCTGAAATATGTCATAGCATTTGTGTAGCTATAAATGTTTCCTATTAAGAAAATATTGAAAGGTGTCAATCTTTTTGGAATAGATTATTAAGGAAATACTACCAATCTTTTTGAAAAAGAGAGAGTACAAGCAAATGATGCTACTACACTACTAGAAATCTGGTAAAAAACCAACCAAAAAAACCGACCAACATTGATCGGTAATGGCCAATAACTATCCAAAACGCGACCATTTACATGTGGACGGTATTTTAGAGGTAGGAAAGGCATACCGACCAAAGTTGGTCGGAAATTACCGACCAACTTTGGTCGGTCAATTAATTCAAAAAGAAAATATTGCAAAAAAAAAAATCGACCAAAGTTGGTCGATATTTTAATTATGTAATCAAAAGGTTCACCATCCGGGAATCGAACCGGGGTCTGTACTGTGACAAGATACTATTCTACCACTAGACTATTGGTGCATTTTGTTTTAAGACTGTCTTTTATTTGATTTATACTCTTTTATTGAATTTTCGCACGAAAATACCAAAGTTGGTCGGATTTTTAAAAATGACCGGCCGAATTAACCGACCAATTTTGGTCATTTTTTAATATTAATTTTTATTTATTTTAATTGTAAAACCGATCAAAGTTGGTCGGTTTCTTGAAAAATAAATTTTGCGGGACTCAAAAACAGTTTTCCGCATTTTTGCGCCAAAGAAAATCGACCAAAGTTGATCAGTTTCGTAAAAAAAAAGTAAAAAATAAAATATTTTGAAAAACCAACCAACTTTGATCGTTTTTTGGCCGGTTTTTTAACCGATAATGCTAGAGTAGTTTAGAATTGAGATGAACAAAATATTGATTGCTCAAACTTTTGATTGGAAGGTCACCTTGGGAATGTTCGAGAAGTATGCCGCTCACGTGTATGCCTGATTCTTTTTTATGATCTTAACACAGTGAAATTTTTTTTTGACAGTGGGTTGGAGGTGAGACTCGAATTTCGGACTTGTCTTTACTCTTATACTATGTTAAAGTGTGTAGTCATTTCATCTATAAACTTAAGTTGTTAGAGAAAACACATTTTTATTTAGTTAAACACATTTCAACAAGTCATATTAAGATCTCGATATGGTGTTACTGTTTCATACCAGAGATTATCTACAGAACTAGTGTATAACATAAAGTTTTGGAGAACATCATATATATAGCTAGCGTTTGGCAATAGATCACAAATTTGTTTTGAAAAATCTGATTTGGATGAAGTTTGGTTAGAAAATGAAAATGTGTTTGGACATACGTTTTCAAAACATATTTTCTAACTTTATTTTGGTAAAACATGTATATAATTCCCAAGTTTTGGGATTTTGGCCCAAAATCAGCTCAATAGCTGATTTTGGGATTTGAAATTTGAGATTTGGGATTTGGCCAAAATATGGGCAAAATTTATGGCCAAACATGAGTTTTGAAAATAAATCCCAAATTTATTTTGACAAAACTCATGACCAAACGGGGCCATAGCCTTACAAGAAGTTCGTCAGATGACAAATAGCTCTCTAGATAATCCTTCTCCGAATCAAGGAAACTGTTATGACCGGAAAATCAAGTGTCGTGTGCAAACTGGCAAAGCAAACCTTGAATTACGATAAAGTGAAGAGAAATATACCAAAAGAGACAAGAACTCCAAACCTTTTCCTACAAGAAAAGGGACTAGCCAAATATGGAAGAATTATATTTTCCCTCTAGGAAAAAAAAAAAACTCAATAAATGTTAAATATGTTGTCCTTTCCTTCATGAGATAGAAAAACCAATTATGGTAAGAAAATTTGGACAATGTGACATCGATAGCTCTTCATATGTATAATCCTGCACATATTTCAAAACACCATTTTCTTGACTTTTACCTCTTCTACCATCCCTATATATTACAACCACACCCTTGTCGGGCTAAAATCAGTCCAGAAATACTCTTAATGTTATGATATTATCGATTTTGTACATGTTAAAACCGTACATTTTTTTTCCCGAAAATTCTTATACTATTATGAGTATCCTACATATTTTATGTAGTTTTTTTTAACTTTTAATCAGCTTCTAATATAAAACTTTGTTCGCACACTCGATACCCTTAGTTATACCCTTCCATCTTTTATCTTCCACTTCCTTTCCCTTCATCAATTCTAGCATAATTTTGTCAAAAATCTCACAAAGGATTGCCAATTTTTACTAGGGACTCCCCAAAAAAGTCACCCAAACACGTGAAGT